ATCCACTGTGTGTTTCTAGCCACATCTTTTGGGCTATTTATCTTTGCTTCACATGGCCTGTCTTTAGCTTGTCGTAGAAAGTCGCCTCTTCCGTTTGCCCACTGCGGAGACTCCAATACCATGTGTTTGACGTTTTGGGGTATGTATTTTAAATGTGTCATAGCTAGATAGCTGAATACACTATGAATTAAAAAAAAAAAAGACGTTTTGTGGCGGATGTCCACATTGGAAGCTTGGCTTTTCTACTACGGGTACTTTCCCTCTGCACAGACAAGAATTTAGCCCGATACGCTCGTTTCTTAGCTGAATGGCGACACTGCTTTGGGCCCTGCTTAGGTTTCTGCTAGCTTAAAACCCTAACTAAACTCAAAATTGAACACATAATCTATGGAGAGACGCGTGAGCTGTATCTTTAGACAAGAATTTTGGTTAGTATATAGACCTTCATTACTTACTCTCAACAGACGATATCTACCTTTGGAATCAATCAGTTGAACCAAATTTCGGCCGTATTTGTTCACAAGGGACCCTGTGCTGTTGAAGTCACTCGCGCGCCATCTGCGTCCGCAAAAGAACGTGGTTTATTGATCAAAAAATTAAATCTGAGGGTTAAGCTGATGTACAGATGATCAAAGAGACGCCATCTCGGTGTTATGAGTGAAGGGAAGAGAATTTTGTTGCGATGAACCGAAGCTACGGACACCTATTCTCTGTCAATCTTTTTTGGAAGATCAGTATAGGCTCGATGAGTAATGCGGCTCAAAGATTATGAGCGCAATTTATGCTTAGAGCAATAATAACATTGATCGGGATAAAATGTGATATACTGTGGAGAAATAAATTGGATCGATTTTAATTTATTCTGTCTTGGTGATTTCTAGACAACTTATACACATGTATTGTCAGTAGACCAAATCCAAATCAGGTTCCTTCTACTACTCTTCGTTTTATATTCTAACAATAAAAATGAATTCCACGGCAGTATATGATATCAGTATGGGAACAGGGCCGGTGGATCAAAATCTATCTCACAAGTATCAAACCATACCGTGCACCAACCAGGTCTCACGCAACAGACATGCTCGATGAAGAGGATATCAATAATCTCGATCGTGAGTCATGTGTGAGAATCGTAGATGTGCCAATCTAAGAGAAACTTCAGACATATAGGGTCTAAATTTCTAACAACCTTCAAGTCAAAACCTCTGGATGTTATGGTTATGTGCGCCAATAACGTAGATGAGCATAGCAACGAGAACTCGCATTGGCTGATATCCAACCAAGGATATTACCAATAATATTAAGAACTAAAAGAGGAAGGGAAGCCTTACTACAATATTTGAAAACTTCCAAGTGTATATCATTATACATAGGAGATATATCAGGCGCAAAAACAATGGAAATTGGAGAGAAATAAGTATATTATGGTACAAAATATCGAGAGAAGCTTTTTTGAAAGGTAATTTCTACCGATGTTTGAATCATGCTTTATGTTTGCTGTATTTATAAAGTTAAATTATCATAGCTAAATAGCTGAATACAATATGAATTTAAAAAAAAAATATTAAAAAAAGGTGGACGTGGCTGTCGAGAGTATACTTGGATAAAGAAATATTTTAAAACATCCCTTTGGTGAGTGTTGGTATGACGGGGGTTATCCCTATGATATTACAGGTAATGATTGATTGATTTAAATTGAAGTCTCTACTGAGTTCAAGGCAATGAAACGGCCGAGAGAAAAGGCCCTGGCATTTTTCAGAGTGCCGACCTGCTTTGCAGCGTTGGAGAAGCTATGAGAAAATGGCCCCACCTGGAGCCAAGGAGATGATTGGGGAGAAGAGACGGCAGAAGTTTTTTCCAATTCCTAACTACAAGCAGATGTTACAATCTGCCGAAGAATGAACAGGGTGGGAGGTGACCATGCTGACACGGATTCCAAATCGGGAGGGGATGTGCTTGGAAGATAAGGATGCAGCGCAGGGCGCTGTAAGTCAAGCATTTATTGTTCCTTTTTATTTATTTTATCGCTTCTGGCTTTCATGCCGGTCATGTGGGTAGCAATGAACTCTCAGAGCGGAGGGCAAGACTGAACACCTCTACGCGGTGTCCTCTACGAACCTGGGAGTGAAATATTCTCCCAGAGCCAAGTTCAGTCAAATTTCGCAATATCAAAGAAGTTGGCCCACGAGGCAATGATTCAACTTACTCTACCACGTCGTTTTTTCGCTCCCAACGAGTTTAACGCTTTCCTAAGTCTCATCAAGTCTACAAGTACGACCTAGTACACCCTCATCCCAATGGCCACACCTCTCGTCGACTTTCTCTGGCCTCAGCCGGTCACCAAATACACTCCCACGCCGATATTTATACCCGAAGGAGGAAGCAAAGCGTGGAGCACAAATCTGGGAGATAGCTCTTTGGGATGGACGTGAGAGGAGTCAGGACAAGTTTACAAGATGATGCAAAGGAAGGATATAACTTCGACGGGCGTGAAATTTCGAATTTTGGCAAGAGTTTTACGAATTAAGCTTTGTGCGCGCCAAGACTTCGCTTGCGAGAGTGCAACTGACACTATAAACACAAGCAAACGATGGATATAGCTAGATAGGCTGCATACACTTAATGATTTAAAAAAAAAAAAAAAAAAAAAAAAAAAAAGCAAACGATGGAAGGTGTTGTGGTCCGCCTCCTGGTGGTGTTCTCTGGTAAGGTTTAAGTAGCCTGGGCACCTACTCCACTTCGGAAAGAGACACCTCAGATCACATATCGCGCGGAGAAAAGTGGAAAGATGATGGAGGCATGTCTGGATAACTCAGGGTTTTTGAGACGTTTCCCTGGGTGGGTATTCACGGATGAGGGTTGACTTGGGGTGAAGAAAAAGCCACCACAACTTCGCAGTGGTACCTGCACAATTGAAATCCGAGGCATGAGTGCTCCTCTTGTAAATTGAGTCATCTTTTCTGTACTTTTCTTTGATATTGTGTCATAGCTAGATAGCTGCAAACGCAATTAAAATCTGATGCAAAAAAAAAATAACTCTTAGAGCCCATCTACCCGTGTGACGTCCATACAGATGTTAGGTTAGTCCTATCACATTAAAGATTTCGAATTCAAATTCCTAGACTATGAGAGACTACTTGTTAAGCTACTTAAATGGCTCTTTAATTTATAGGTTAATTTTTAATTTGGATATTGTTAGAATTCAGAGTAATTTCGCTATCAAGTAGGCCACGTTGTTGGTATACACATGACTACAAATTCTGTAATTAGTTTCACTTCGGTAGTTACTTGATTCAATGCGCTCTACAACCTCAATGACTGAGGGGTCATTATTTCCTTAATTAATATTACAATTATATGCTAGTTGATCCCGAGGGTCATGCCCTAACAGGTAATGAGAATGGGGTTGCTACTGCAGAAATGGTGGCTGGTTCAGATGTGTATATGTATATATGTCTACGGACGCCATCGAAGCGTCAATACTATCTGTACTGCATAGTCATAGACTCAGACATGACTATCTAATGAATTAAAAAAATACTTTCTGTGAGGTTTCTTGTGCACGTTAGTAAGAATAAAATGATAGAAGTTGACTGTGAAATTCACGGGTGTCTCCTGGCTCCGACTACGACAATCTATATATGTGTTGAGCTTGAGACTAGGTGTAAACTTGTATTTATATCAACGTTCTAACTTCTCCTTAAATACAGGAAATCCTCTATACCCCAGATAATGCAGCGATCAATAATACGTGGCAAAGTAAACTCCCAGATTACAGTAGGGGGAGGAGTTGGGTGCTTAGCCGCCCGGATTGTGACCAAGTCATGCGAGCGGTGTGTTCTTGATGGAACCTTTAACTCGGCGGCTCGCTTGCCGTAAGACTTGGCCTTTCGCTTGGACTTGGAATTCAGGATCCTTATCTGTATCTAGTTGTGTACCTAAGGCATATCTCCAACCTCAGGCCTACCGGAGCAAGTGCTTGGACAGTGGGTACTTACGTAGGACGGTCGACTGTTTGTGTAAGCAAACATACTTCATCGTGGTACTTGCGAATGAAATGCAGATTATGAGTGTTTATGACGTCAAAAGAGTCATCCAACATGTATACCTAGCATAAGTCACGTGTCATAGCTAGATAGCTACATACACATAAAATGATTTCAAAAAAGGCGCCGTTTGATTTGACTCATCGCAACCGATAAGGCCTTCGACATAGGCTAGATTGAGCACCTAGCCTTTTTTTTCTTGCATCGGACTTTAATTGAGTATGTAGCTATCTAGCTGACACGACATCAGAGAAAAAGTTCACAGCAGATGACTCAATTATAACTAGAGCACTCATGCCTCTGATTTCATTTCCAGGTACCACAGCGAAGTTATGGCGGCTTTTTCTTCACCCCAAGTCAAAGAGGACTAATAGCAGTGAAATTAAATTCAGGGAGCTTGTCATTAATTGATTTCTATAGGTCTCAGAAGTTAAAATGATGTTTAATAGATTTACCCACTAAGTGACACCTATTCACGGCTATTCTAATACAAACGAATGCGGGGAAAAAGTAACGAGTAACCTGAAAATATGATTACTCAGAAGTTCTTAAATAGGAATGAAAAGCCAAAGACCTCAGGTAGAATACAGATAATGTCTCACTAACGATTCTACATGTCGTGCTTCAGAGTCAAATGTATCATGACCATCTTTTGCAGGCATATCTGCAATGTGTATGCAATGTGCCAACCTAATATGATAGCCAAACCTGCACAAACATCAGCTCATATTATTATCAATTACTTAACCTCTATTATTCACCGCTTATTCATTCATGCTAAAGCTCGCTCCAATCCCCCAACTGAAATCCGCTCCACCGGAACAACTCACACTAAACTAAAGCAACGCCGTTCAGAAAGGTATTTGTAAAATTAAGGAAGCTTAAAATTAATTTATCCTTGAGAAATCTTTCTCACGTCAGAGATAAAAGCTATTTGCCCTATAATTTTAGATCATGGAATCGTCGTCAGAGGGCAGTTGGCGAAAAGATATTGAAAAATCTCTCGATTCAGTCCTTGGTGTTGTCAGCAAATCATTGGGGCCAGTCTCATATCATAACTACCGTCACTCAAAAGAAGTTTCTGAAAAGCCGAAAGCAATCTCTTTCCTGGCAGATCTGAAAAAGATAGGCTTCAATGACCTTGAGACTCTCCTTTCTTTGCTTAATTCTGAGGTTAAAGGCGAACAGGATGACAGCAAATTTCTTCTTGAAAATTTAGTCAAACTTCTAGCCAAATGGGATGAAGGCTCAAAATTCGGAGAACAGTTGAGCAATGCCTTTATTGGCAACCTTTGGAACGCTACAGAACATCCTCCTACAACCAGTCTTGGCTCTCAGTATAAATATCGAGCTGCAGATGGAAGCTTTAACAATATCTCCTTACCTGAACTTGGAAAAGCTGGCACCCCGTACGCGAGGAGCGCAAAACCAGAGAAGCTCCAAAATATTGCACTTCCAGATCCTGGCATAATATTTGATAGCGTAATGGCTCGTGGGGAAACATTCGAGCCCCATCCAAACAAGGTTTCTAGTATGCTCTTCTACCTTGCATCTATAATCATTCATGATATATTTCGAACAGTCGGTAATCACGTTAGACTCTCACTCACTGACCTACTAAACCGTAGTAGGACCATGCGGATTTTAATATCTCTTTGACAAGTAGCTACCTTGACTTAGCTCCGCTCTACGGAAGCAACCAAGAAGAACAAGATACAATTCGAGTTTTTAAAGATGGAAGGATTAAGCCTGATTGTTTCTCTGAAAAGAGGGTCTTGGGCTTCCCTCCAGGAGTCGGAGTCATGCTTATCATGTTCAACAGGTTTCACAACTATGTTGTAATGCAGTTGGCCGCGTAAGTACTATAACTACAAATCAAGACATTCTAAATGAAAGGAATTCGTTTATAATACTGATACTCTGTAGAATAAATGAGAATGATCGTTTCAGAAGACCAGCAGAATCTAGTTCTGAAGCTGCTTGGCTCAAATATGACAATGATTTATTCCAAACAGGTCGTCTTATCACGTGTGGTCTATATGTTAATTGTGTTCTTAAAGATTACGTTAGAACTATTCTGAGTCTGAACCGTACAGACTCAAAATGGAACCTCGACCCTAGGACCGAGGAAGGGAAGTCTCTTTTTATCAAGCCATTGGCAGAAGGTGTCGGAAATCAGGTTTCTGCAGAGTTCAACGTGATTTATCGTTGGCATTCAGCTATCTCTGTGCGTGATGAAAAATGGACCCAGGACCTTTACGCTCAAATGTTTCCAGGCAGAGATCCTGACTCCATAAGCATGGATGAATTACTGCAAACACTTGGGAAATTTGAATCTGATATCCCAAACGATCCTCTGAAACGCCAATTTGCTAACCTTACCCGCAATTCTGACGGAAATTATCTCGATGATGATCTAGTACAAATTTTGGAAGCTTCCATTGATGATGTTGCTGGCTCATTTGGCGCAAACAGGGTTCCAAAAATACTGCGATCCGTAGAAATATTGGGAATCATACAGTCTAGGGCCTGGAACTTGGCTTCTTTAAACGAATTTAGGCAATATGCGGGCCTGATAAAATATGCTACATTTGAAGATATTAACCCTGATCCAATTGTCGCTGAAAGGCTACGAAATTTATACGAACATCCAGATAACGTGGAATTGTACACTGGAATATTAGCAGAAAAAGTTAAACCACCCATGACTCCTGGATCTGGACTTTGTGTCAACTTCACTACGTCTTATGCAATTCTATCAGATGCCGTTGCGTTAGTCAGAGGAGATCGGTTCTACACTGTTGACTACACTGCAAAGAATCTGACGAACTGGGGGTAAGTATATTCCGGAATTTTTTAGGTACCGTTAACTAACATACCCAAGATATAGAGAAGTTCTATATGACACATCTGTCGACGAAGGATGCGTTTTTCACAAGCTCATTCTCCGTGCTTTTCCTCATCACTTTAAAGATAATTCTATCTTTGCTCATTTCCCTTTTGTTATACCCGAAGAAAACTTAGTAATACAAAAGTCACTAAATCGAGCTGATAAGTATTCCTGGGATAAGCCAGCTATGAATCCTTCAACCATCAATATTGAGTCATATACTATGGCTCAAGATATCCTCAGAAATGCTGCATCCTGGAAGGTTGCCAATGGGCAAGTATTCTCACTTCTCCGAAATAAATTGACCAAATCCCCCCATGTTCTCAAGAATTCAACTACTGAAACACATCGTCCTAAAAATCTAGAAAATACAGTGAGAACTTTCTACCAAGAAACAACCAGGAAACTTCTCGATACCTACAGTTACAATCTCACATCAGTCAATGTGTGCCAAATTGATATTGTTCGTGATGTCTCAAATATAGTCAACACCCTTTTTGCTGCATCAATTTTCAATATACCCATCAAAGCATCTGAATCATCTGATGGGCCGCATACTGAGCATGAATTATATCAAATTCTTTCCTTACTTTACACAGTCATCGTGTCTAATGAGGATAAAACAAAAAGCTTCCACTTAAAACAGATCTCACATCATACGACTAAGCAGATTAGTGATCTACTTTTACATCATACTAAATCTATTGCTGCCAAGGGCGTTTTCTCTGATATTCTTTCCAAATTACACGATTCTTCCGTCCTAGCTTCCTATGGGACGTATTTAGTGAAAGAAATGCTAGAAACTCAGGTACCAGCAAGTGAGATAATCAGAGATCAAATGTAGGATCAAAATGGCGGCATATGACTCTCTCACTAACTAAAATAGTTTACCAACAATGGCTTTTATTTCTGCCGGCGGGTCACAGATATTTTGTCAAGCCTTGGATTTCTACCTGGGCGAAGGCACTAAATACCTCGCGGATATTCAAGCTTGTTCACTAGTAGATTCAGCTGAGTCTGACGAGAGAATCTTTCGATAGTTAGTACTCCCCGCTATGATCGTTCTATTTGATATGCTGAAGGAAATAGTTTCATGGAAGGTGCGCGAATCTCGACTATTTTAGGTATTGATTGCTGCTATCAGCCAAGTAACGAAACTACTGACTCGCCCGTCATCGATAATGGCAAATTTAAGTTCAACATTTTGCCTGGGCAGAGGGTTTCTCTAGATCTTCATGCTATCTATCGAGATCCTAAAATTTTCTCCGATCCTCAAGAGGTAAACCTCAATCGTCCGCTTGAATCATACTTTGACCATGGATTTGGACCACAACAGTACGTTGGTCACGACCTTAACCTTGTCGCAAGGGTGGCGATGACAGCTATGTTTAAGACGATCTTTAGCCTAAAAGGCTTACAGCGTTTACGCGGTGGTGGAGTCGATGGCACTTGGTACCGCGGTGGCGAGAGTCAAGGTATGTTAAAGAAAGCCCAGATATCACCAGGTCGATTTGCCTATATGACCCCGGATCAAAGTAGCTTCTGTCCCTTCCCAACCACCATGAAAATTCAATGGAATATTGAATAGTCACTTGGTCTAGGTAATAAAGATTTCATGTGGACGAAGGGGAGAGCTAAATTAATGTTTACGTACCGTGGAATAAAGACCATAGTATTCCGAGGCTATTTTGGGGTAATCTTCAAGAGGAGTGACGCGGATTCGTGGCACTAGATATCTTTGGATAAAGGACTCTTTGCATGCAATTGGGGGCGCTCCAGTTGCCTTTGAATTTGTAGAGAACCCAACTCATGCCCCACTAGCTCTGCAGCTGACTTAGTCTTCCAAAGCTAGAGATGTTATCTTTTGAGTACAGCTCTCTTATAATAGCGCTGCCAGCTCTATGTCCATATTTTTCACCTTTTGGTAACCTAGGATAGCAGGTCCAAATTCTCATTAAGACCAAACTTGTGCCGCACGGCATCACCTTGATGAAGGGCCGCTTCTCTGCTGAAGCTATTGACCTTTAAGTTTAAAATTCTTAACCTAACCACACGACGTCATAACACGTCGATAGTTCACTTGCGGTAAGTTTTGTTCACTCACGAATTCGTGATTTGTGATTTGTGAGGCAGTAGGCGTGCACCTAAAGCGGCTGGCGACATTAGTATCCATCGCGCCACAAAATACCGACCAAGGGTAGCTTGAATAGAGATGGTAGACAAATATAAGTGAGTGAATATAAGTGCGAAATAAATTTGACGGAATAAACTGAATCCGAAGCTAATCAGCTGCCTTCCCACTCCCACCTTTTCCATCCGAGCCACTTAGAAGCCAACGACGCGCCCGACTGCATCCATCCCTTGGAAACTGTTTCCCCCATCTAACGAGAAACCTCACGCAAATTCCAGATTTATGCCCAGCTCACCATAATTTTATCAAGTGCAGCATTCCTCGCTGCTCATCTGCGTTCTTTTCCAGCATTGCCACACAATCAGACCCCATTCATCCTTATTTAGCCCAACCATTTCATGCCCTCGCGATCCGCATGAATGAACTCCACCCTCCTTGAATTCGACCGAAACAGCTCAAATGTAGATTTCCATAGTACGCATATCGCCTTGGCTGACATCAAAGTAGCGCTATTTATCGAATTTTCCGTTCCCACAACCAACTTTCTTTATGCCCAGATCACCTAAATAGCCAAACTAAGATACCTTCAACCCGCTTCGCTTTAAGCCAGAAACTTCCAAACCCCCCCAATTGTGTTCTACGCTGCAACCGAAAATAAACGTAGCTACGGCTACGAGAGGGAATCGACACAAGTGGTACATAGTAATTAAAATTTAAACCGACGGTGCAAAAGATTGAGTCGTAACTCAGGCTGGAGACTTGCTAGAAGCAGCGAGTTGTGGTCCACCATTTTGGCGCGCATCTCCACTGCTCATGGTCAGATTTCCAATTCCGGTTGATAAGAAAGCGAAAGGATCGGCGTCAACTTGCTGATTGTAAAGATTAGACGCGCCGGCGCTGGCAGGCCCATTGCTAGCAGACTGGAAGGCAGCTTCGGCGGCACGGCTGTCGAAGGGGCCGGCAGAATGTGAGCCGCCTGCAGGATTCCCAAAATGAGTATTTAAGGAATGATACGGAGCTACGGCTGCTCCAAGACCGGATGGTAAAGCATAGGTGCTTGGAAGACCGCCAAAATGATGACCACCATATCCACTGCCTGACCCAAAACCAGATGCCGAAGCGAAGGGGCCAGGTCCTGAGTTAGCTGTCATTGATCCAGGTGCCATTCCGTAGTTGGAGTTGCTCTCCATGGGCGAAGGGTAGCCCGAATCTGCTACAACTGCCGCACCGGCACGGCTAGCACCGCATCGGAGGCAGGTAACGTTCTTTGCAAAATTGTGGTATCCACATCCATCGGACCCACATTTCCAATCGCCCGCTCTGAATGGGACTACCCCGCCACTGCCGGTCATTCTCCCACCTCCATGTCCACCCATGCCACCATGATGGTTCACATGTTGGGGTGGAGGCATCATAGCCGGTGGCCCGTATCCGTAAGCCCCTCCGTAACCACCCATGGTGTCTCCACTGGGCCCGGCACTCATAGCTGGGAATGAGCAGCGGAAACAAGCTGTTCGACGTTGAAAGTTTGAGAACCCGCATGACGGACAGGTCCAATCTCCTGGACGTGGACGATTTTTGCTTGGCGGGAATGGCGTTAAAATTTCGGCAGCTCGATCAAGGACTCGGCTCGAAGAAGGGGAAACTTCAATCGCCTTCTCGTTCAGGGCGCGACCGTTCATACACAAACTCTCGGCCGCCTAAATCAGTATTAGATAAGACTAAATTGGCTGAAATTGAAACAATGAATAAACGTAAAAATAAAAGTGTGAAAGGAATCTTATTTTGTGCGCGTAGAGGCACTAGAGTGAGCAGAGCAGACTGTAAACGAAGACGGGGAAAAGAATTGACCGACCTCTTCGTGTGACGAAAATACAGCGAAGCCAGATCCCGTGGGTTTGTGCTGGTCTGGAGTGCGTAATGTCCAGAAAGCAATGGGACGACCTCCAAATTGAGTGAACCAGCTTTCAAGTTCGGATTGGGTGGTATCATGAGGCAGGCCGGCCATGTGTAAAACCTTGCTACGCTCCGATAGGAAGGCTCGGACATCGGCTCGAGCATCCATAGGTCTAGTGAGGACATCGGGGTGTTCATGAGCAGGTTGAGATTTTCTAATAAGTCCTTTGAGTACCCGTGCCAGTGTAACAGCTTCTTCCATGGCTCGGCGGGGAGATGCTGGTGCTAACGCCTGAAGGTGAAAAGGTAGATTATGTTTAATTGGCGCACTGGCCTGGACAGGCTCAACCTCAAGGGCTGCGCAGATGTTTGAGAGCATTGAAGGACCGAACGGAAGGGACTCAGGATGATGTTGTTGCCAGCGTTGGTACTCGGTCCGGAGATCAAAGGTTCGCGAGTGTTGCAAATATGGGGGTAAGACAACGGCTTTGTCCCGAGCTTCTCGCGGTAGTTGGACTCTAAGATCCCAGGAGTCAAGAGTGACAAAGGAGAAATCTAGATTTTGGGATATAAGGTGTTCAGAAGCGAAAGCATCAAAGCGGTTGATTGCGTCGCGAAAAGTGCCGGCGTTACGAACGTGTTCCCAAGTGAGAGTTGTCAAGCTAGCTATTGAGTAGATATAATTAGCCTCGAGGAAAATAGTGTGGGGAAACAGGATTTAAGCTTACTACATAAGGGGGTAATTGGAGTATTGATTGGTTTTACAAGTACGCTTTCACGGTGCATCTACACCGAATGTCAGTTTCTTTTTCGTACGGCATCATAGGAAGAGGGAGGTAAAGTTCACCTCTTCACACGTCTTCCCATCTAAAAGCATCCATCCCAGCTCAATTACTTCGGCGGAATCCTTGGTCACATAAACTCCGTGTTCATCGCATGTTGTAGCGACATGGATGACAACATATCGATCTAGATTTCCTTGTTGTAGCTGCGAAGCTGAAGACATTCTTGAATCTGAAGGTTTTGGAGTAGGCGGTGCAGATTTTTCGTATAGAACCAGTAAATGACGGGGTCCAATAGATTTATTAGAGCAGCAAAACGAGGGTAGTCAGCAAGCAATAAAAATTGAGATGAGACTGAGGATAAGTAGCACGTTGCTGAAGTCGAGAACTAATTCTGACCTTCCTTTGCGGCAATGGTGATTGGAAGAAGTGGTATTGTCTGCAAAGGTGTGCCTGCTAAAAAGTGTTGACTGAACTTGGGACAAATTGCCTTCGACAATCCTTTTAGGCTTAGCGGCTCATAAGATGGGTGAACCAATACGTCTCTCATTTGCTTTTTTTCCCTTTGACAAGCGACGCACAAACGCACAGCGAAGCGGCCTAGGTGAAAGCATATGTCACTGTCATGCTTCATTGACGGCAGTAATTTTGAGCTAATACTACTATGTGTCTGGCAGCTCCATCCTCTTCTGGCTTATTATCATGTTCAAACATACTAATTTAGTGGCGGTTTATGGAGCAATAGCGCTAGGATTAGACACGTTGAAAAGGGGGCCGGCGTCGGCGCGCGGGGTGGGGCACAGAGAGAAAAAAGGGCTTGCAAGTGATTTGAGGCATCATTGAGGCTTCCACCGCATGTTGAGAAATTTTTAACAAAACAATCATTGACTCGATAATTAATTTTAAAGAATTGGTTCGACATGGAAATTTGCGCATCTCAAGCTGGTACAGGTGCTAATGAGGCTCGATTATATACACACCTCCGCGAGGTCCATGAGGATACTCAAGGTAGATGTACTAAAGTCTTCGTAACTTTGAAATGGCTGCCCAGCCCACAATACAAGGGCAGGGAATGGCTAGGAGGAATGATACCGATGATGTTGGCAGCGTGAGATATTTTATATTTACCCGGCTATCTGCCAGTCTCGGTACTGTATAAAATATTCAGCGCTGCACGAGCACAACAACCAGTTGGAGCTGAGTTCATGGCTCCAAATTCAAGCCGCCACAGTTTACCTTGTCCACCTGTTACATAGCACGTACTATGCCCCTAGCTATTGATCTTAACCACCCTTGGACTTGTAAGATGTCTAAGCGTAAATATGGGCCTCGAGCTGATAGCTTCTTCACTGTCAGGTCGCTCGACTGGAAGAAAGAGTTAAGGCGGGCCCGGCTTCTCTTATTGGGCATGTTTGAATGATATGATAACCGAAGGCACGAATGCGGTAGCTCACAGCTTCGATGCGGGTAGATAGCATTAAATACACCCGTATTATGGTATTCTGTAAGACGTGTTGTATCGCAAAATTCGGTATCGTGACCTGCGCGAGCCCTATTCACGTGACACACGAACGTGGACAGAGACGGGGAGCAGAGCTATGACGTTCAGCCGTGACCGTCTGAATGGGCCGGGAGTTCACACTTTTGCACACTATGGTTATGATTCCGTCTGCAGAGGGCTCCAGACTACAAAAACAAGGGCTCTTGGAAACACAAACACTCCGCCAGCCCCAACACAGTTAGGTGCAAGCGTCAATCGACCTTGTCTGATCTCGACGTAAACACAGGCCAGCACAGCGCCGAGGATATCTAGTATGCTGGGACACAAGTGTACACAACATTTCTTTATGTCACCCGCTGTTGCATGCCGTCCACCGAACCACGAGATCTTGCAAGTCGCCAGGAGCTCGCAAGGCCCCGACGGTCGGTTGCAGCCCGTCTCCTGGATGTGGCAAACACCGGCAGTCCAATGTGCCACCACGTTGCCGGTGGTCAATCTCCGATGGCTGGGCAAAGAAGGGCCGGTTCGCTTCGCCCGGCTTCCACCGCGCAAGTCGCTTAAGAGCGAATCGAGATATGCGTTCGGGCGAACGCATAGCTCGGACGGTAGATATGTGCATGCGTGAATGGCCTCGTTCTCTCACAGCGCTGTGTAGGCTTTGTGATAGAGCTAGAGATGCCTGAGACTGTGGTGAACAAATGGCTTAAGCTTGTACCAGAGTATTCAAAGTTGCTAGTATACGGATCACACTCCCAAGCAAGGCGTCCTTTTTCTCCCTCTACATCGGTGTAATTCTCAGTTTATCACGACCAAACTGGAGTACGTCCTTAGTCTCATTGATTCGGTGGCCAGTTAACTCGAGCTCCCCAAAGCTTTATTCTGGATCCTCCGATATGACTGGGGCTTCGTGTGATTTATGGGACATATGACACCTTAGCCGTATTAGTGTTCAGTGGATTGTGTCCTCAGATTTAGATAGTTCAGCTACCCGTCACATACTGGACATACTGACCTCACCGCAGGCTATATCAGCCCTTGCACCCGGCCGCCAACAAGCCGAACCTATCTAGTGTCCTAGCAACGTAAAGCTCTGGTGTTAGCTAATTTCGGAAGTTGTAACGGTCGAGGAATCAGGGGTAATCTTGGCGGTAAGAGGAACCATGCTCTGGCCGGCATGGCGTCTGCCAAGGATCGAATGGATAGGGGAAGGAGAAATTTTCAGCGCTCAAGATGAGTATATCCCAGACAAGGCACAGAGCCGTCACGCCTTCGTCATGCCAGGCCCGTGACCACGGCGTAACCAGAACGCTCGTGGCCAGCGCCCAAAGTCACGAGTGAGGCTAGGAGTGACAAGCGAAATTTTAAGTAGCCTTTTATCCCTGTATGATATGTCGATCAACTAACAATAGTCGCGCCATCCTCATCTCTTCGTTTAACATGGTGTGTCTAGCACTGCAACACACCATTGCACAATTCTCCTGGACTTGAAATGTATTCATCGCTTCTCCGCTGTTTCGACTGTAGGCATTTCGCTTGGAACGATGAACTTTGCTGCCCACTTGACCTGTCTGCATTTCCCAACCACTACCTCGCCTGCCGAATTTAAACGACTTGAGACCTCGGATATTGCATCGCCATGTCGAAGACGCACTTAGGAGGATCGCCATTACGTCGAATCCTCTTGAGGCGCCTGCCTAGTCCATCTCATCGGAACTCTTTACGTACAGTTTGTGCCTTATCCGTCTTCATGTAACACTCTGATCGAGATTCAACGTCCTGGTTAAACTTCAAGCGACCCGCTTGAATGCCTGCCCAGAAGCTTCGCAAGGGCACAGTCCGCACAATCTTTTCTTCATATTCTAGAATAGTGCTGTTCTAGTCACGCCGTACGTCGCGTAAGCCAAATACATTTATCACTCGCCTTCGGCATCTGCTCATTCTACCACTGGCATGGTAAGATCCTATAGTTGAACAATCATCGCCAGCGGGCTGTATCTCTCGAGATTCCGCCCAGGTGGTTATACAGGGCCTTTGAATCCATGGCTAATTTACACGATACTCTGAGAAGGAGCTGAGATTCCCCACTATTTGTAGTCCATGCCGACTCCTGACATCAAAATGTACCCTCAGGGTCTTAGCCATATCATCTGCGATCAGATTACTAAAACCGGTCTAGTTTAATTCCACTTGACCGTTAAACCCTAAACCTATGTATAAGGCCTTGCCGTTTAGCTCTTTTTAACATTATGCGGAGCACCTACAGACTTTCACTCAGAGTACGGAAAATTTGTTACTGCAAGATGAGCAATTAACGGAATTCATATCGAAATTTTCACAGTGCAGGCCATTTCAACACTTTCCCTCAGCGTACTCTCTTCGTCCCATGCGAATCCATCAGTTCCTCTAGTGACTTATGTCATTGTAGACCGAAAACCCACTACCAACCAGTTCTGTGTGTTTGTGTTTATTATACTACTTGAGTCTATGACTATCTAGCACATTGGGCTCCTCTCTGACCAAGGCCACACCTTGTACAGTGCTCCTATCCTCTTTTATTACTTGAAAGATCATTGATATATTCCCCTTGATGAATAGCCATTCAGCTCAGTATTTACCCGTGTGATTCGGCAACCTTTTCCACGGAACCTTCTACCCAAAAAAAATAAAAATGGTAGCAATGGAAACTGCGTGCGCGGGAAACTGTCTCAAAAAACCTGCAGCCCCAGCCAGGCGAGGCCTAGAAACCGGGACCACATGAGGTGCGCATATTCATCTATATCTCCCTTCTTTGTAACAGTCGAGGCCATCTTGATCCAATCCACCATCTCCGTATCGGGTGCTGGGTACGCTCCGGAAACTCATCGGATGGCTTTTCCTCCGTGATCAAGGGTTGGTGATGAGTAGGGCTCCGACCCTACCATCTGATCTGATCGTGGTTAGCTTCATGATAATGGTGATAGGGAGATGTGTTGAGAGACGAAGACGATACAGACCGCGAAAGCTATTGGGAATCTTCGTGGAAGTGAGGGCTTTGTTACTCAATCTCGGCTCTGCAGACTCTACAGAGAGAGCTGGAGGTTTGTAGGGGACACCACTGACAGGTGTTGAGAATAGTCCCCCCCAGTTCTTTCTGTGACTTCTTACCACCAACACAAGTAGCCTTTAAGATTCTAGTATATAATGCCAAAAACAAGACCTTGAGAATGCCAGCGTTTTTACATCTTTTGAGCCAAGTACATCTAGAACAGGTCTTGCCCAAAAACTTGAGAAATATGCTCTTGGTGATTGCAAAGATGACTTATTCACCTTCCACAGGTGTCGCTGTAAACGCTAAATTAGTGTCGGAATACTAGTGTGGTTTTTATATCACACGCCTTCTACAGGAGTAACGACAATTGGTGGTTAAGATGTATCTTCATCTTTGACTATCTAACTGAGGGGAACACGTATAGACAGTAGCTATCCCTATCTCCTAACGCCATCCTAAAGAGGTAACTCATCACTCAACATAATTAGTCATCATTTCTAAGATAATACATGATAGCTCATTAAGTCATTAGGTCATTCGACAACAAGATCAGCATTCCTGAAATAGCCAAGAAGCATCGCATCATTACTAAATGACCTCGTAAGATTTGGGCCGAAGCCGTACTTTTTAAATTATCACTTTTATTTTTCTGGTCATGGAGAAGCCACCTGATAGGTTTCCGGAGCGTACCTAGCACCCTATATGGCCGTGGTAAATCGGAATAAGTCGACCTCTAATGTTGCGAAGAAGAAAAATATAGATAGATATGCGTACCTCATCTGGCTTAGATTCATTGGTTTTGCCTGGCTGGGGCCGCCGTTTTAAGACTTTTCCTGAAAACACACTCTCCATCGTTACCATTTTTTTGAAAGAAGGTTCTGTGAAGAATGTTGCTGAATTCCACGGATAAAACTGAGCAGAATGATCATCCACAATGGGAAATACATCTAAGATCTTCTTCTGCAACGAAAGAGGATGGGAGCATTGTGCAAAGTGTACATTAGATCGGGAAGGAACCCAATTAGCTAGAAAACCACATTGATGTAGCACAATAGAAACTAAACCAAATTGAAATCTGTGTATCCGTAAACTTTCAAGAAATATCAATATCACTTGATACAGGGATGTTTCCCCAAATTCTCATGACTGCTGGAACTACAAGATGACGCGGTCCTTGCGATGTGTCTAACAGGTAAGCTCACTCGGGCTGTCATAGCTAGGTAGCTGAATACAATATAATTTAAAAAAAAGCTCGCTCGGGGTATTTTCTGTAATTTTTATGCATCCACTGCTAGAACATATGCCGGACTACTATCGAAGGTATGGGTGCGAGGTATAGTGTCAAAATCAGCGTCATAGTGATTCGATGTTTGCCGTTAACTGCACAGGAAGGTTTAAGAAGGAAGAGTATATCCGTAGCTCATGTTTAGCAATTACTGCGGGCATTAAGTCCTTGATGCCGTTTTTGTTGGTTAGGCTCTGTAGGGAGGATTGTCCGCTTGTCATCCATTATCTACATGCTTTCGCACCTTCATGCTTTTCGATATCATTACGCCTCACTTACTTTCTCCCTGTGTTGCTTACAAGTATTTCTATGATCTCTCATTTAGCTCCCAGTGTTGCTAGGTCATCACGAAGTCTGCAACTACTAATGAGGTTCCTCAAAATGACGTGTATTTCTCACTAGCGAGCTGTCTCGAAGTTCTTCAATAATTGGCACGAAGACAATAAGAGGCTTTGATAGGCTAGAGCGTTAGAATGCCCATTCCTCAGGAGGCATGAGTTAGTACTTCTCTCCACCAGAGCCGAGCACTAGCTTAATGGTTTAGGCTTTGCTAGCCCCAGTAGCTTTTATGGCCGGAAATTTAAATGCCTTGCTCATACCACCATTCATCTTTTTCCATCGTCCAAATTCGATGCTGGGTGTCCAAGTCAAGACACCTATCCAGGGCTGCACGTTATAATGTAATCTCAAGGTCACATTTTTTGTATCTGCCAGTCTGCCGGTTGGTGTAGTAATATGATACTTTGCTCGTTGATTTCTGAGCTCTAACTTACCCCTGCATGTCACAACAGTCAGAAAACGTATCTAGAGCGGGCTTCATGATTTGTACAGGAAATCGAGATGCAAATGGTCACGGTAGGATAGGTACAAAGCTTACCGGCGGGGGTCAATGCTTAATCCTTGAGAGCTCTTTATCAGTTTTTGCTTCGTGGCAGGGCCAACGTTCAATAGGTGGTCGGCACTCGGGTTTGTTATAATGCTATCCCAGATTACGACCTCATTTGAGACCTGGCTTGACGTAGAGTTTGGCCATGTTGCTGATACGTAGACAAAGACTTGCTTGGTATTCCACGTGAAGAGCGAAGATAAGTCGGCTGAGAGCGAGAAACGAATAACTCCATAGTCCTCGCGTTTAGTTGAATAGTGATTGGGTCGGCCCCTGATGCTGTGGATTCTTCAGTTGGGTGTCTAATTGCGGATGTGAACGCAAGAGGACTAAGTCAAGTATATTACGACAAACTCACACATTTACATCCTTCAAAGATAAACTTGCACGAGGAGTTCGCGGTGCTAGTAGGTCAGAGGCAGCGATTAAAGCCCCGAGTACTAGAGCAACTGTGGTGAAGAATCCGAACAAATTCTGCAAGCGGTTGCTGGTCGAAAACATCCTGTTGTTGAAGCTGCGATATGTTCACCGATATATGGTGGGAATGGGAATGAGAAAATGTAACCTCTGGTGGTGTGAGCTGGTTAAGATGCGCACGTCGAGAGCTGAGTCATTTGAAAATTTAGATTAGGACTAATACTATTTGATATGAACAGATTATGCGAACAAGAGGCTGATCCTTTGAATGTGGAGTTTAGCCCTGAATCATACGAAGCCAATGTGTACACGTATTGCGAAAGTCCCGTTGTAGCCAATACGCCTGGATTCGTATCAGTGTCACGTGGCTCACAACAAATTGTAATGTGCATTAGTCATGGTTTACACTCCATGATTAGCCCTTTGATTCTTACTTGGATAGCATCATCCGTTCCGAATTGTCTTCCTGGAGCTGGATCTCGACATAAATTTTAGTAAATGTTAGAAGTATTTGTGGCGTATTCACTAATGAGCCAAGACCGTTTGCAAAGAAAGATGGAGTTTGATTATTAACAAATATCGCCAGCTCCCAGGCTTTGTGCCGCTCACTTATATGAGGAAGGTTAGCTTTCCAGTTACCGCTGAATAATTAGTAAAGGTCATGAACACCACCATGCAGGATACAGTCCGGCTGATGCTTGTCGAGAGAGTGGCGTTAACCAATCTACTAGTCTTTCCCGGCAAAGGTCTAGCATGCGATTAGTGTTTACTGAGGTCCGATAGCTTTATGATGCACCATGATATGAACCTAACAATAAAATATGCTCATATTGAGGTTCTAGTTGTCATTTTCTTTCACACCTTCTGTCAGCCACTGATATTCAATTGAAAAACGGAAAGTGAATTACTAATTTGAGGTCTCAACAGTTCTAATCTGAAGAAAACCTCGGTACATGGACACACGTCTCCTGCCGGCACTTACATGTCATAAGGGAGCGCATAAGCTTTGACCACAGTAGATCAGGACTAAACCTCTGCAAAGATATTGTAGTTTTGCTTGAGACGTCATCGTAAATATTCGAGAAAATAACCCAACTCGAGACAGCCTTTGAGATTGTATCGTGACTCATCAGATGAGAAATCTTGGCCAAAGTAATATTTTGGTAAGGGTCTATTTGTGGCTTGCGGATCAGTAGGTTCGCATATTCTGTTCTATCCTTCTCTTCATCTTATAGGAATTCTACAATATAATGAAATCAATATAGCGCACAGAAGTAAATGTTGATTGCAAGCGAACTATAAACACCATTGTGGTTGGATGGTGCGGCTCTACATCATTTCGGTTGGGTTGCCAAGTACATTCTGGATAGCTTGGATACATATCCTACTTGAGATAGGGGATAGCTGGTTCGAATCTGGCAAAGTACAACAACATCTGTCGGGGCGCTGGTGTACGTGGATGAAGAAGGCATGCTTGGATAATCAAAGGTTTTGAAACGTCCCTTTGATGGGTTCTTACAGAGGAGGGTTGACTATTTGTGTGAGCAAACATACCTCACAGTAGTATTTTCAAATGGATCTAGAGTCTGAGTGTCTCTAAAGCTAGTAGCGTCATCCAACATGTTTGTATAGCATCGGTTATATGTCATAGCTAGATAGCTGAATAAATTTAGACGAAAACAAAGTCAAAAGAAAACATGAAATAAATAAAGCATATTAACTGAAACTACCCAATGCAAATGATCCCAGGGTCGACATCATCAGAGTAGATTGCCCAGTTATCTGTATCGAAAATATTTTTACAATAGTCTAGCCATCAGCCCTTATCTTGACCTCGACTGAATTATCATCCAGTTCGTGAGTGGGAACCACAAGAAGAGGAAGTGGCAGGATGACAGCCCCGATGTAGAGGTGATAGAAGTAGATTGGCTGTGAGAAGGGGGTAATTTGAGACGGGTAGGGACTACATGCTAACGTGCACGTACCATATGTACTCACGCTATTGTACCTACAGTGCCTCTGGGATATAAAATGTTGACCTCGAAACTGGGATGTTTAAGGGATTAGCCCTGTAGGTGCAGTTGTGCTAGCTCGTAATAGGTTAGTATGTCTCTCCTCCTTACCCCGCTCGCCATGAAGTATGGTCCAGTCGTCTTCTTCTAATAATTGTTTAGAGAGACACATTTTCAACAACATTTTTGGCTTCCTAACCCACACAGTCCTTGAATCTTAACACCACCATCAATTCATCCTCTATTCTAGCAAACAATGTCTCTCGAAAAGTTTGCTTCAGCAACTAAAGTTCGCAAGCATCTAACTCGCGATCAATGTATTAAAATAAGAACACAAAGAAGACTTGGCTTGACATTTCAACATATATCCGACGAACTTAGCTTCACAAGAAGGCAAGTGCAACTTACGTGTGCTCGAGAGACAGAGAATCCCAAGCCTCGCAAAAGATGCTTATCTAAATTAAGCGCGGAACAAGTTGATGAGCTTGAGGCTTTCGTCCGGGAAACTCCTGAAAATCGACAGATGTGCTATCTGGAACTAGCAATGGGACATTTCAGCCACTGGGGATGCAGTGAACGTTTAATTTCTGATGCACTCAAAAAAAGAGGTTACAGCAGATGCATTGCTCGGAAGAAGCTCCCGTTAAGTGTGGTTAACATGCACGAAAGATGTACAGCGGTGATAAAGGAAAATGGAGGGTTCACAAAGTATTGGGATGGAGCTGAATCACACAAAACGTGAAGTACGCTTTCATTTTAGTTGCGTGCCATACTGAGGGCTTCGATGTAAACTTTTGTAATACAGAGTAATTATTATTGAAATAGATGTGTATTTGTAGATAATATCAATTGATTTTTAAAATTTTAAATTTTAAATGGGGACCATTGTACACTTCATTTACAGTTGAAAACGATCCTCATAATTTAGACTTTCACGGAGTACCATTGGATAGTACCCTTTGCTTGCATAGCTAGTCGAGTAACTAGACATAGGCCTGCATGAAGACCATACCAATTAAGGCAATGTGTACAGGGATCTAACCCCAGTCATTTTGTCAATTGTACTTTTGATACCCTTAAGAGACTGTAGGGCCAGGTTGAGGCAAGGCCGTAACTCAAGTGATATTGTACTGTGGTCTAAGGCCATAAGCGATACCCAAATCTCGACTACTCTTTTATCACACATGATAACAGGACGACATCATTGTGGGTTTCGATCGATCACAATTGAAACAGGATGGTGACAAATATAACTCGTGGCTCTACTACAGCTAGTTCCGCAGTATGCAATAGTTAAGCTTGAGTTCTAATAAATTTGTCTATCTCTCCTCTTAACTCCCTACTCCGAAATCTACACTTTGTGCGTAGCTTACTAGTTGTAGGCTAACCGCATTTAGTAATCTGTGTTACATTACGTAGCCTGCTACGTTTAGGATCCACATCATGGGGCTCGACTCGTATTTACATAGAAGAAAAATACCCGGAGTCTACAGTCCAAGCTGTCCATGTAGCTACCGATCGCAGAACCCTAAGCACTTGATTATGTCCTGCCCCCGATGGTCAAATGGAAGAGGAGCGATCTGGAGACAAGCGAAAGATCGGTCCTACAAAGCTATGCCAAACAATCCTGGAGATATCGAAAGGATAACACAGTGGATCCTAAATCATGGTTGGATAGAGCAATTCCAGATGAAAAAGGCGGTCTAAATGCTGCTGAGGGAAATGAACAGGTCATGCCTTTCTTGAGGTCGTTAAAGCTGATATGATTGGGTTATATGGAGGGCACTGTAGTGTAACTGCGCTTCCTAAAGGATAGATTAGAAAAACCTAGAAACTAAACAGGAAGGTTTGGGGGTTTTCAACAAAAGGTTTCCTCCCATGTAAATTAGTAAGTATATAGACACCTGCATAGGCCCATTGGCCGCCATATCAGGATAATGAAATCAAATTCAGAATTTAAACATGATGACATGAGATGCGCATATTCATCTATATCTCCCTTCTTTGTAACAGTCGAGGCCATCTTGATCCAATCCACCATCTCCGTATCGGGTGCTGGGTACGCTCCGGAAACTCATCGGATGGCTTTTCCTCCGTGATCAAGGGTTGGTGATGAGTAGGGCTCCGACCCTACCATCTGATCTGATCGTGGTTAGCTTCATGATAATGGTGATAGGGGAATGTGTTGAGAGACGAAGACGATACAGACCGCGCAAGCGATTGGGAATCTTCGTCGAAGTGAGGGCTTTGTTACTCGATCTCGGCTCTGCAGAATCTACAGAGAGAGCTGGAAGTTTGTAGGGGACACCACTGACAGGTGTTGAGAATAGCCCCCCTCACCAACATGAGAACAGCAGAAAAAGAATCACCTACAAAAAACAAACCGTCTAACTTCCTTCATTTAAACATTTTACCCCCATCGAAGACTGGCATACCCGTCCCAGAGTACTGACATATTCTCGGAAGAACACACCATTCTCATTTTCTCGAAGTCGACCAATTTCTGGCGCAGTCCATGGCCCCGAGGATGCTTTGTTCTTTATCGCAAACTCTTCCGTTGGCTTCTCAACTCTTATAATAAATATTTACAACGCCCCTCCTGGAGCTATTAATCCAGGAGTCGAATTCCCCTTATCTCCTCGATCGAATTTAGTTTCACTCCAAAGACGATTCCGACCGGTGATTTCAATCTCCACCACCACGACTGGCACCCATCTCTTCATGGCTCGCCCTCCTCACATGCCGAAACGTTCATTCGCTGGCCCCAGTACAGAGTCCTGTCTTTTATCTCAGAGATAGACACACCTAAGCATACACCATTCCGGACTACCTACATTTTTTCTTTCCACGTCTCAAGTGACGAAATCATATATCATATACGATCTGTTACTGTCATAAATATCCTTCAATTACTCATGCCGCCCCAGTCCTCCGCAGAGGCTGACTCTTGGCCCCCCCTCCACCCGTTAATTCGACGCGTCCTGACGTCTAAATGGTCCTTACAGGGCCACCCAACCATCCAAGTATTACATAAACAAACGCGAAGCCTATCTGCGCGGCGAGCTTCCAATACTCACCCCCAAACCAAACCGAGTCATTAGGTGTCACTATGACTAACTTCCTCGCAGATGAAGCGAGAGCTTTTAATTTACGCTTCGCAGAGTCTGAGCGTATCGTCAGTGGGTACATTAACCTACTAGCTGCTACAACCGACATATAGCTCTGAAGCGCTGTCGAAAAGAATGGAGAGGCTTTACAGGCCATTATTACAAACATCCTGCGCGGAAACCCCCAGCCCCTATCCAGTGAGCCATCAGAGGCTGCCAGTAGCATCAAGACGACAACTCTTCCGCCACCGGCTACAAAGCCAGGAGGAAAGAATAACGCGAGCACCCCACGACCTGTGCAAATCCTCGCTAGGGAAACCAGCAGCCAGTCGAAAGGCAAAGAGCCGGCTTCGACAAAACCTACCAGGCAAGTCGAAGGCGACGAACCCAAAATCACAAACAATCCTGAGAGATCCTGGACCCAGGTGGTCAGGAAAAAGCCAAAGCCTGTACAACCAGTAGCGCCAACACCTCTACCAGTCAACGGGTCCCAGTCAAAAGCAACTGGGCCTACACAATCACCGAGGTCAAGCACCCTCGCTTCCAAGCTGGCCCGCCCAGACGAGCGTGTGTTCCTGCGGGTCAAGCCCGACCACCCGTAGAAACGCATGTTTCCCCACTAAATCAAAATAAGCCTCGTAAGC